CGAAGACCAAACGCAAGTCCAAAAATGACAACAAATCTGCGTTCCGCGACCACGACCCTGCGATCCCTGTGACTGTTGACACGTTTGAAACGCGAAGACCCAACGCGAATCCAAAAGTGACGACAGCTCTGCGCTTTGCTACCACGACCCCCGATCTGCGCAGCCAATTCTTGGATAACACATCGTTGCTGGATTACTTGTAGGTCTTGGAACTATGCGTTAACAAGCCGAAAAAGTCCTGAATCAAACCTGCTGAAACCCGGCATTGCCTGCTATACTCTGCACGCAATATCATGCACCGGACGTTCTCTGGTAGGGATTCTCCTCATGCTTGGATAGAACCTGGTTCTGTGAGTTAGGATATTCTCAGAACCATGGGCCATCCCTGGAAACAGAGACTGCAGCACATCTGCAACAAATCCTCCAAATAGTTGAAGCCAAAGCACGCCAAGCCACCAATTCTCCCACTCTCCCCGAATGTTTTTCCTATGCCGTTGGGCCTTGAATGCTAGACCCTGTTTAAGCCTTGCAATAGACCAGGCCCTGAATCACGGAACCCAAATTCCAGATGACTCCAGATCCTTAGTACCACGAATTTGGGAACCCTACAAATCCCCACCCCCGGCGGGCCGTCAACGGCACGCAAACCACGAGTCCCAGCCCAGCATGCAGGCTGAAGTCTCTTACCTAGAGATGGGGCTTAGGGTGTACGTCCCAAAATTAGGAACCCCTTAATAGTAGGTGCCAGAATATAATCAAGAACTAAAAGGTTCCCATAATTTTTAAGAATAACCCAAAAGGGTCCGTTGGGGTGTTTTTTGAAGTTAAAGATCTGGGTGATTCTATTCTCGAAACGGGTGGTGATGATCAGGAAGCATTACGTTTGATGGTTCTTGGCTGTTATTACCAGGGCTTCTCATTGCTGTTATTTTTTGGATTTTTTTGTGGGGACGGGGCTGGTTCTTCGCTCTTGGCCAAGTAATGCAGAAAATTGCCCAATTTTTGACCAGGGTACTGATGAGGGGTTTTATTAAAGTTGGTAGGGCTTGGGAGTTGTAAGGGCATTGGACCACAGGGTTTTTGCAGATTTTTTATAAGGGCACGGCTGGTTCTTCACTCTTGGCCAAAGACTGACAAGGGGATAAGATTAATTTTGGCAGGCCTCATGCCATAAAACCTTTTGACCGCAGGGTTTTTCTTTGTTTCTGTAAGGGTAAGGGCTGGTTCTTCGCGCTTGGCTAAGTAGCCCAGAGAAGTTGCCCAGCCTTTGACCACGGGACTAATCAAGGAAGTTCATGAGTTCTAACAAGCCTCGGAAGTTATGCGTTTGACCACAGAACTGCTTTAGCCTTTGTAAGGGTAGAGTAAATCTTTTCACTCTTCGCCAAATATGGCGAACATTGCCCAGCCTTTGAGGGAAGGCACTCATGAGCGGTTTTGGTTGATGGGCTGGCTTTCACTTGTGGCCAAGACTACAGTAAATAGGACAAACTTTGAGCAGGGGACTGATAAGGGGAGTTCATCTTTACGTGTTTTTTGCGGGGGTGGGGCCGATTCTTCACTCTGGGCCAAGTGTTGCAGAAAATTGCCCAGGTTTTGACCGCGGAACTACACTGAAAAGCAGGATTTGATTACTGGGTCAAGTGGGCAACAACGGACTTTCGTGTCCAGGCACAGGGCATTCATAAGGGGATGTCCGTCAACGTGGCCGGAAGGTTCAGCAGTGGGATTTGGCTAGCACGGGCACAGGGAGGTGATGCATGCGAGGAGGCGGTTTCAGCGCTAGATACATGTAGCACAACGCGACCAACTCCGCACTCGGACCGCCTTGAAGCCTTTCGTGGGCGCTGGAAAATGTGCTTCCAGCAGCGCAGCTCGAGCACAAACTCGCGGCACAAGTGGTTGGCTTTGCACCCTTCTAGGTGTCATGAGCGTATACGACCCTAGAACCAGGCGGTACTTGGCATTGATTGGTCGACGTCTTCACGTCTTCTTAAGGACGGAAGAAGGCTCAAGACCGTATATAGCAGGGTGTATGTAACTCATCGCGCGACAAACGACTGTCTGTAAATAGATGCACGGACTCTCCGGAAGTGTGCTGCCGCACCCTGCCTGCAGAAACTCCAGGTCGGCAGAGCCCAGGATCTTCTGGTGCCGCGGAGAAGGCTTCGGCCTGGCGCGCTCTGGCGCCAAGCGGCTGCGAAATTGATCATTCTTGTGGCGGGGGTGTGGCAAGCTTCTCATCGTCCTCCAAACTCTTCAAGCCGCCCAGTTCCCAGTTGGCGTGAGACCAACATCACACTGTTGTCCGCCGACTTGCGAGCTGTCATCCTCTGTCTCCATGTCATGTCATCCCGAAAGGTTTTCTCTTGTGGGGCATGTTTATTCGGGGCATCATACTACATCGCCACCTTGCGCTGCTCGTCGGACACTCGGAGAACTGCTGGGCCGCTCTGCAAGTCCATCTGTGCAAGTGTATTCGTGTGTGTGTTGCATGCTTCTGACTGACCCAGCACAGTCGTCAGATTGCAGATTTCAATAAAGCGCTGGAAAAGGACATCTCTGAGGTGCAGCACATCCCTGCACGCACCCTCAGCGTCACAGGAGTTTCGTGCTCATCGTCCGACAAGATCATGCTGTTGATCAGGAGGTGATGTTTGGCCACGAGCATCACCAACTGGTTGTGACGCTTTTGGACAGCGCGGGTCATGCAATGCCCGAGCTTGGCAACAGTCATCTTTCGGGTCTTCTTGAAGGTCCTGGTGTAGCGGACCTCGCCTTGCATGTCCACGCCTTGGATCTCCACGCGTTTTTCCAGGATGCGGGCTTGGACCTGCAGGATGAGCGGCGATGGCGCACGCCGGATGAGTATCTCCTCTCCGTGTGGACCGAGCCACCCACCCACGCCAGGGAAGAGCATGGCAATGAGATCAAAACGAACTCCCACCATGTCAAAGGTGACCTCGCGTGCACGGAGTGCGGCGTTGACATGGGGAGGACACAACTGCCAGTCCTCGTCTGGCGGAAGAGCAGGTCTCAGCAAAGGCCTCAAGAGACACTGTTGCCTGGACTGCGTCTTCTGCATCGCCTCTCTTGCGCCGGGCTATGTAGGGATTGTGATGATATTCAAGGTTTAGGTTTCGCAAAACTACTCAAAAGTAGGAATTCTTTTCTGGAAGTCAGGCGCAAGCATTCAAACGTTTAAAGGGGTTGAGGGAAACCCGTGCTTGGACAAGGGGCACCCTCTATTTCGGGGTTCTGTGAAGAGGAAAACCCTGTGGCAGCTTCAGGATACAAAGGGATTACAAGGGGGCAGGAGTTTATGCAGTTTCTCTGAGGGGATACATAGGGATCCCTTTGATAGGCCGTCATTTGGGTTCGCGGTTCATTGTTAGGATTCATGTTTCTAGTTTCAATTTCAGGGTGTTTGGGGTGATGAAAACTGACTTTTGGGATTTGCGTACAGCATTCAACACCTGAAGGGCCAATGATGAAGAGAATTCCCTACTATAACCCCAATACATCCCCTACTATAATGAAGTAGTTTCCATGTTCTTTTCCATTGTTACTACAGTATATTGCCTGGCGACTCCACTGTTTGGGCCTGAGGGAGACTGGCCCCCCAAAAGATCACCTTCCTGATAGCAGTGCTTGCTCTGAAGACTTCTGCAATCAGTCGACAAAAGCTTTCTGAAACCTCATGTTAGCATTCTTGACTAGTATTCTGGCATAGATCAGTGGAAACGAGAGGATAACTCGGAAGCCTGATACCTACAGCCTGGCTCCTTGCTAGGGTAATGGTAAAACGTGTGCTCATGCTCAATTGGGCTGCGGCATAACAGGAACAAAGTTGTATCCAAGACTCCCCCCATCTATCTATTCCATAAACATGAACTTGTGTTATGCCCTCAAATTTCACACCTCAAGTCTCATCTAACACGGCCAAAAACAAAACAAATCATGTGCTTGCTTGAAACCTCAGCGCCGTAAACCCTAAACGGATATCCCGATCCACGCCTCCAAACTACTGGTGCAAGCCCACATGGATCTGTATAAAGCGGCAGTAGTCTATGTAGGTCTCCAATCTAAACTCCTAGTAGCCATCTTTATAACCCCTATAGCCGTCCCTTTTCCCCTATTTAACACCCTTTAAGGACTTTAGATCCTAAACCCTATATAACCCCTATATAATCCCTAGAATCCCCAATATAACCCCTTAGGGTAGATGAGGATGACCCCAAACTCGACATTCCAGGGCCAATACTAGCTCGAGATCAGCCACAGACATGACCAGCAGCATGAAGCCTTCAGTTTATGCTTTAGGGGTTTTGGGTGTGGGGTTTGGGGTTTTGGGTTCAGGATTTAGGGTTTGGGTCTAGGGTTTAGGAGTTTAGGGTTTAGGGTTTAGGGGTTTAGGGTTTAGGGGTTTAGGGCTTAGGGGTTTAGTGGTTTAGGGCTTAGGGTTAGGGTGAGTAGGGTAAGGACCCCCCACCTTGTAATAGCGGGCAGAATAGGAAAATACTAGGACCCTAATAATCCTTACTATCCCTTATTGTCACTATTACTGGGTGGAGGGTCCACCTAACCTAGAGGAGGGTAAGAAAGAACCTATTTGGTTAGGATGATGGAAAACCAAATTGGACAACCAATGGAAGCTAGGAATATATGGGGGATATACCGGGTTTAGGGCATAAGGGCGTAAAGAATGAAAACAAGTTTGGAGGGGCTCATTATACTGTCATTCACAAGGATTCTAGCATTCCAAATCAAAGAGGACTCTGTGGATTCTCCGTGGGGTGGCTGTCAAAATTATGGTCCCTTTTTGGATCCCTATTATAATACGGCACCTACTATTTGGGGTACCCAAAAAGGGACCATAATCTTGACAACCACCTATGTGGTGTTGAGGGCTCTGGTACCGGGGCTCTCACATGCAAGGTCGGGGCTCCGGCGCATCGAAGCCTCAAGGCGTCCTTCCTCTCCCCTATGCCTGGCCTAGAATCGCCACGAAGAGGATTCATGTGAGCTATGGTCTAAACCTCCTGAAAGAGGGTCATATAGGAGATTATATAGGGGACTACTATTGGGGTCAGTAGGGAGGATACCGGTTAAGACTATCACTTTGAAGCAATCAACCAGAACCCCTGTCATCCCCATGTAGCCCTTAAACACTAAAGTGGAATTTGAATGAAACCCTACAGTAAACCCTAAACCCCAAACTCAGACGTATACTCTCGACCTTAAACGAAACATAACAGCCCGAAGCATAACCCCACTTCAGCTCTTCATGCTGGGGCCACATCCTACGGCTGCTGTGGGCAGGAGTGCCTCACAGGCTCATAAAAGGGTTCAGGGGCTTAGGCTTGTCAATGAACATTGGCGCTTTAAGGATGTTTAGCCTGTTTAGCTTTGAAGGGCTCTAGGTTTTGTTAATCCTTTAGGGTTTAGGGTTTAGGCTCTAGGGGCTGCGAGGCTAAAAGTAGAAGTGTAGGGCTAATGGTGCAAGGACAACGGCCATCTAGGACTTTAGGGTTCACTTAGGAGATGATGCGTCGCAAAGTTTGTAGTGAAGGCCTTGGAGATTAGGGAGTTTCGCCAAGCACGCATCCCTCTTCTGTACCCTGAAGTCCTACAATCCTTATCGTATTGTGGAAACCCTCTTTAGTTGGAGGGATTTTCATGGTCGCTTTCGATCTTCCAAGAAAGAACACATCGTCTTGCAAGTAAAGGAGATGTCAATAGATTTTGAAGTAAGGCCGCAAGCGGTAAGGATAAAAGGAGGTTGCCATTGTATCTTGCCATCCAGTCAGCTGGGCGCTCAATGAGATTTCCGCTCCCACTGATGTACCCTCATGTATTCATTTTCGCAAAAAATCGCAAAATTGGGACGCTCTCGCATGATAGCTACCAAAAGGGTAAGCCCCAACAGGAGCATTCGAAATTTGCCCAATCCCGCGCAAAGGAACCTTGAACTCTCACGTTAGGCCTGGGAAACCATGACATTGCACCCGTCAACAGCTGCTCAATGGTCTATGCGGCTCACTCAAAAGTCTACTTCCTGAATGCTGACGAAGAGGTCGCTTCAGCAAAGTGATAGAGTTTGCAGGCTGGCTTGAACCTATTTGGTACTTTCCCAAAATAAGGGGAACCCAATATAGACCCCCAAATACTATTACTAGTATTATGGGAACCCCCAGAAAGGTACCTCTAATATTAGGAAACCCCTATTTGGGGTTTAGGGCTGCCTCCTGAAGCAATCCCTTGCATTGTCCTACTCTCAAGGGATGAGAAAATCCTACGCCCTCAGAACAATCCGCTACCAAAGCGTGTTGGCGAGAGTCCATGCCCTTAAACACCATCGCCCAAAAGCATACAAACCAAACTCCGAAACCCTCAGCCCGAATAATCCAAACGCCACAGTTTAAAGCACTTTTTGGCTCGAGAACCCATTGCCATTGACTGCTTTTGTGGGACGGCTGTTCTCCCTGCAATGATTCTGTACTGATGAACATAATATTTACTGTTGTTCCCGAGGAGTGTTCATGATGTTGTTCCAAGGACTGGGATTAGTATACAACCAGGTCATGGCAATCCACTACTGGCGTGGCGCTGTCTGTACATCGTACTTAAGTAGAACAATCGCTGGTATTTCTATGTACCCGTATAGAAGACTTGGAGAACCTGCACATTTCGCACTGGGAGTTTGTTGAGATTTGGATCCTGCTAAATACCTACACAAACCTACCCTACATGGTACGGACCCCAACGACAGGACTAAGAGCCTTGAGAAACGCTTAACTCTAAGCCCACTTTTATCCACTGAATATGTGCCCAGGTTCCAAGATAACCAGTATAAGGCTCCATAAAAAGAACAGATGCTGTTGAAGCCGCAAGCCCCGAATCCCAAACATGCTAACTCCTGCCAAGATACTACTCCTTACTTGCTGAACTCCTATTGAAAGCCTGACCCCTCTAGCCAGCCAAATTCCTGCAGAGAGCACAAGCCCAAAAGCAGCAACCAGAACCTCGAATTCCTGACAAAAACTCCAAACTCTCAATGCAAAACCCATCCCAAGAATCCGACTCCCTGAAAGCCAAAACAACCTAAACCGAAAACCCCCAAAGCCTATACCCAAACCCCACACCCGAAAATCTTAACTCGCAACCCTAAACCCTAAACCCTAATGTCACCCTCATATAACCCTATATAATCCTCTCTAGAATCCTTTAAGTAACCCCCTATATAAACCCCAAAACCTGGATCCCTAAACCCTATCATAGCCCCCATATAACGCTTATAGTATCTCCTATCTGACCCCCTACATAAACACTAAACCCTCAACCCCTAAACCCCCATGTCTTTATAGAATCCCTTAAGTAACCCCAAGATAAACCCTAAAACTCCTAAACCCTAACCCCTAAACCCTAAACTCCCATATAACCCCTTTATAATCCTCTCTAGAATCCTTTAAGTAACCTTAAAACCCCCTAACTCTAGCAACAACCCTGCAGAATCCGCCTCCACGGCATAGCGCGCCACCTTCAGCATCAAGGCCCGGCGGCCCCGAAGCTCCTCCAAATTGTTTAGGGTCTAGGGTTT